TGTGGGTGTGGTTGTGGGTGTGGGTGGGGTGTGAGTGTGGGTGTTGGTGTTCGTATGAGCGAACGACAAATGGAAACACCTATACTCACACCCACAGCCCACGCTACGGAAATTATCATCATTGAATGGTAAAGATTACAATGTACAACTTGTTTCTGTGAATTCCTACCATTGGAATAATTGAAGGGTGAAGTATACTCGCTTCTCACTTCTTGACATGGTGTATTTTTGAGGGAGTGAAAATAACAATCGTTTTATTTCATGGTTGATAACAAAAGGCTTTTTATTGCTATGTAAGATTTGACTGGAAAACCTTTTTGTCGAAGTAAAGTAATCTTGAGTGAAAAAGTAATCTATCAATGATTGGTCCTACACCATTGGAAGTGAAGACACTTACGTTGTCATATTTGTCTGTATTCTCTACCATATATGCTTTCCATCAATGCAAAGTTTAGAAGAATTTTATATTCGATAAGAATTTTTCACTGCCTTCGTTGATCTTCGATAGTATTTTGATATCTCAAAATGTATTTGTGATAGTAAAAATAAACCTTGTCTATAATGAGATATTTCATTTCTTGTAAAGACGCAACAAAACTGGTGACATATAATTGTCACCGTAAACGTTTATTTTTACAGAATGAGCTAAGACGAGAAAATCAACAGTCAACAAATTGATACAAAAGTCAAATTGTTAAATTTCATTGACAAAACAAGTTACTTTCTCAATAGGTACTTTTCCTGTCAATCAGATTTGTGCGTTTTGAAAAATTGACTTATCAATAAGGTGAATTATTCAACAAGCATGACAAATAGTACCAAATGTAAGGATTGGCTCTATGTGAAATAAGTTTGTAGTATTCTATGAAAAACCATACACGATTCGCTCCTTGCCACTTGTGTCTGGTGCCATCTATTCAATCATGCGTTGATTGAAAGAAAATGATCGCCCAGTGAATATTGTTTCTTTATATAGCCATTATGTTGATATTCCTTTACTATTTAAAAAAATATATATATCGAGGTTTAAATAAATAACCGAGTATGTTCAACGAAGAATACCCTGTATCAGGTCATTGTGCGGCTTCATGGGAGATTATTCGTCGTGTGTTTCGTCAAAATTTAATTGATCGTCTTGACATTGGTGCTACGCTTTGCATTTATTATCAAGGAGAATGTGTTGTTGACTTAGCTGCTGGATGGTTTGACTCTGAGACTCATACCAGACCGTATACTCATGATACATTACAAATGATTTATTCTACAGGAAAAGGTGTCATGGCTACGGCTCTAGCCTTATGTGTTGAACGAGGATTATTAGACTACGAAGAACGAGTAGCAACATATTGGCCAGACTTTGGACAGAATGGAAAGAAGAATGTGAAAGTCAAAGATTTATTGTCACATCGAGCGGGATTAGTAGTGATAGATGATGATGATGGTTTTTTGAAGGTCGAAGATACTTTTGATGGTAAGGATTCGATGTGTAGATTGGTTTGATGGCCAGTACAAAGAGCACTGGAATCTAAAACAATAAGAGGAACTCTCAAGTATACATTGTGCTAGCATTTCGTTGCTTTTTCGAACATAGCAAAACGTCTGATAAAAAGAAATCAAAAACTTTTAGATAATATAAAAACAGCTTGAAAATTGAAAGAATAGAGTTTTACGTACATTTATTATTTCAACACCCCTTGCCAAAAATTATTGTTATTCGTTGAGCGTGATTTTGCATTAAATGTTGATTAGATACAAAAACACTTAACAGTTCTCACATTTAGTTTGATTTAGATCCGACGAAAATCACTCATCTTCTAGCCAAACAAAAGCCATATTGGGAACCCGATGTCGGTGGTCACGGCTATCATGCCTTGACTTTCGGTTATTTAGCGAGTGAATTAATTCGTCGAGTTGACTGTGTAAAACATCGTTCCATGGGGCAATTTATCCAAGAAGAAATCACTAAAGCCATAGGTGATTGTGAATATTTTGTTGGCAATTGTTTGCCTGATCAATATCAAGCACGAGTCTCCCCATGCATACCACCACAACAATCGAAACCTGCTGAAAATCCGTCAGAACTGAGGTATAGTACAGTCTTTAAGAAATTCAGCAAAAGTTCATTAATCTATCGATCGATTTTCTTTTGGATTCCATGCTGTATCACTATTTTCTATTTATGATTTAGTTGGCATAATCCCATTTCATTTTTAAGTCTGACTATTTTGTGATAGTTCTGATGCTATATTTTGCAGTGAACGTGCTTTATGTAAAATTACTTTATTTACACTAGCCAATTACAAACCCGAATATTTACACTGAATGGTCTTCTACCATTACCACCTATTGACAGCAAAGATAAACGTTTATCACCTATAAATGGTTTCACAAATGCTCGATCATTAGCACGAATTTATGCTTCATTAATATTTACTGAAAGTCTCTTAACGCATAAAACTCTAGCAAAAGCAATATTGAATAATACACCTGAAAATGAACCTGATCAAATTCTTGGTTATATGACAACTAAGTTTAGTCAGGGCGGTTATATGTTAGACTCAACAGTTGTGAAAGACTTCGGCAAATGTTTTGGACATTGGGGTAAGATAGCGAGCCTCATTTTTTTCATACTCTTGACTTCTTTTACTCTTACTTAGGATGGGGTGGAAGTATTGCATTCGCTTGTCCCGATAAACAACTATCGTTGGCATACGTACCAAATAAATTAAATTATGATACAAGCAAGCCCGATTTACGCATTCAACGAATTTTAGATGATATTAAAACTTTAATAAATTAATAAAGAGCGCTCAAAATACTTGCATTATTATTCAACCCTATAACATATTGAATTTTAGTCAATGATTGTATTGTTGTCAGATGTTTTCTGTTACGATTATCTTGTGAATGAAGCTGTGTAGGAGTCGAAAGTAAGTTTCGCCCTACAGATAGCCGACACCTATACTCAAATCTTAAAAAAGAAATACTACGTAGCATTTTTATGAAAATATAAATCAGACTAAATATTTGTATTTTGGTTAAAAGTCATAGCTTTGAAGAGTACTTTTGAAATTTGTTCGCATAAATAAAAATCTCTGTGTGTCCATCTATCATTTAACAAAGAAAATATTTGGTAACTTTTTTTCCGCGAATAATAAAGATATATGAAAAGAATAGTGCGTTTTTTTAAAAAACTACCAATCAACATAAAAATCTCGATTGGTTAACCAAATAAACTAACCCATTGTAAGTTCTTTTGTATATTGCGGGTGTGGGGGTGTGGATGTGGGTGGGGGGGGGGGTGTATGGATGTCGGGTGGGGTGTGGGTGTGATAATGAATTTCGGGTGAGTGTACTTCTTCCTTTCATCCTCACTCTCACTCCCATGCATATCTCATTCAGAATTGAAGTGATTGCCGTAAGTAGCTTGGGATTATCTTATAAAGACACACACACACTCTTGTTAAACCAAGATTCAATTAATGATGCTGATGTGATTTTTCAAAGTATTTTCTCTGCGCATCAATACATTCAAGCAAACTCTGATCTTCCTGATTGATCACGACTTTTCACAGAGTCTGATGTAAAAAACTCGTTTGATCGCAGGAACTGTTAGTATATCATCTTTTTTTTCTTGTTTTAACTGACCTCGAACCAAATGCATAACTCTTGTTTCACCATTAAAACTGTGATTTCTATACTTCATCGTAGACAAGTGGGCATGTTCTATTTTAGCAACATGCTTTGGGGTTCATGTGGATGAATAATCATTGTAATTTCTTTTCTTTCATCATACATCGTGTTTCACTTTCGAATAATAGTGTCAAGATTCAAACCTTTTCTATTACGTTGGAAGACCTATTAATCCGGATAGATATTCATAATTTCTACATTATAAAATAAATGTAAGATTTGCAAATGAAATCCAAAGAAAAAATAACTTCGAGAGAGATGTTATCACCCATTAGTGAACGAATCATATCGTAGCAAGAGTCTACTTCTTGTAGCAGAAAAAAAACAAAGTCAGAAAGTTAATCTTCGCTTTCTCTTCACAAGACTGAGTCATCGCAAGGTCATATCGAGTAATCGCTTGATGACTGAGTTGACAATGTAGAGAAGCAGTGTACCTCTCTATTTCTGAAAGATATCCATTTTTAATAAGATTTGCAAGAGATAACATTGAAAAACATCACGGTTTTCAATGAATTCCTATATAAATGGCATTTATGACTCCACAAAATTCAGTGGTAGGTTCTAAGGAAAACAAAACTTGAGCAACTAGATAGAATTTAAGAGCATTGCTTTCTTTTTAAAAAAAATTGAAAATTTTAAAGAAGAGGAACAATGATTCAAAGGATGAGTGAGTGCTAACTAATAGATAACGTTCATCGTGTCGGATGATGATTGATGACTCCATTCAACTGTCAACAAATAGATGAGTTCGCGTCACATTCTATAAAAAAAAATGAGCATGATGAGTTAGAATAAACATTGCATATATTGCACCAACCTACCAAGCTTTTTTCCCACGACCATAATAGTAATCATCGCCACGATAATACCTATGGCCAGGAGGAGCAACACGCGTACGACAAACATGAATACAGGATCGATCTTTACCATCGCAAATGTCAGTCAAAGTACCGGTGTCACGACTGCCAGCAACAGAAAATTTACTACAACCACACTTACGACTGCCAACATCAAAAAGGTCCTGGAAGAATGCCAGTGCAAAGAACACAATGACCACTTTCAGGATCATCATGACCACAACAGTCTGTATGGCTATTACAAACAGCACCAAGACTAAGGCAGTCATGTTTATTCCCAGCTTGTTGTGATTTTTTCCCTTTTATCGCATGACCCTGTTCAGCCACAAATACTAAGATACACATAAAGTAAACCACAATTCTAATGTTATTCATTTAACTGGTTTCAATGAGAGCAGAAATACGAATATATGTAACAGTTATAAAATATGTATGCTTATGGCTTTATACAAATACTGCTGCTTTTATATAAGCACCGCTTATTGTAGAGCAATGAATGAAAAAAAAAACTTGTAGTCATTATGTAAGTAGAATGAAGCGAAAGCAAGTATCAAAAGGGTTGTTTGTGAGCAGAGAATGTTTAAACAGTATAAAAAGAATTACTCATCTTCTCTTCCTTCCAGAACACGTTGACTCTTTGTCTGTAAGATATGCTTTGGCATACAGTCGTTGAATGCAGACGAGGGGGGGTGAATTAATTGAAAACAAATAGATCTATCTCTTAACGAAAAGTCAATGCAATCTACTTATTTCAACTTTTGCCTTTCGGTTTTCGATTAACCCTCGATTCAAGGTTTAGTTTTTTCTTCATGAGAAACTATTTAACCACTTTTTACGACAATTGTGCAATTGGTTTGAGAAAAATCAGTCTAGTCAGTCTAATTCCAGAAAATAAATAAAAAACACTAAATGCTCTCTATACTCGATTAAAATTTCTCTTGGAAATACAGGGTGTGGGGATGGAGGCTGGTGCGATAGTGGGTGTAAGTGTTGGTCCTGTATTCACCGACACCGACACCTATACCCTAGGTAGGAGAGCCGATGTAGCTGATAGCATGGTTCATGTGTTCTTCAGTCTCACTCATCACATGATTATCACTTTTTCTATGCAGATTGAGCTTTTTTAGAGCAGCACAGCAATCATAAACAGAGCAGCAAAGTCTTGTCTTCTAAAAAATTGAACGAGTGTACCATCCAAATCTCTCAACAAAAAAAATGAACCTCATAGTATCCCATTATGCGGAAACGTCGAGTAACTCGTATACTATGAAATCTTAGGTTTAGAAGTACTGCTTTATTCAAAGTAACAACGGTGGTGAAGGATCGCACATTGCAAACGAACTACATGTATCTGATACCGAAGGTCATTACGGGAATAAAATGTAGCAACTGCTAACCTAAGATTTCATACCGTACAAGTTGCACACACTTTCCGGACAATGTAACATACCAAAGAGATTTGGAAGCTGTAATGGAAAACTCGTGACTAGTGTGTGAGGGAGAAAGAGGATGACGCCATCCAGTGTCGTTTTCGGAATGGTGCCCGGTAGAGTGTAGGTGTAAGTGTACATGTGGTGTATCTATGACTCGGGCTTGGTGGATGCCGCTATCCTGCTAGATGTTGCCATGACCTAAGTGCGTTGCGACATCTACACAAATACTGACATCCATCATCTCGACGACACATTCATACCCGACAACTCGAAATCCAGACTACATTGGCCTTCACTACCAACACCTATGTACACTCGGAAAATTTATCTTTATATTTGGTGGGTATTTACTGCTCTCAAAAAGACCCATCCTCACACAAAACCATGATCATGGTATCTTGGCTATAGTGAAGCTCGTGTAAATCATACTACCAAATCTATTGGCTTTGCGATAGAATTCGAACAGTGTGGCCTTTTGAAATTGTCGAGGCACAGCAAATCTTTCTTTATATTTCTTAGCGATTTCGTGGCTCTCGAAATGCTCTACTTGCACCGAAAAAGTAGTCATGCTATCAATCATGCTATAAAGAGCTATAGTCCATATCGTATGAAGCACACTATCCCATCTATCGACTTTCCTATTTGACACAGACTGTGTGGTTTTTGGAAAATCTCGAGCAAAGCAAATTTTTCTTTATGTTTTGTAATCATTTTGTAGTTCTTTAAAAGCTCTATCTGCACAGAAAAAAATGGTGATGATATCAGGAGCAATAGTTAGAATCGTATGAATCATACTATTGATTCTATTGGCTTTCCCATGGAATCGTAATAGTGTGGTCTTTCGAATTTTCTGAGGGCAACAAATTTTCCCTTACATTTTATAGTCATTTTGTAGCCCTTGAAAGCTCTATCTCTCATAACAGTATAAGTTTCGTATGGTGAACAGCCTCAGTGAATCTTTGAGCGGGATGGTGAAATCGATACTGCGAATATGCTAGTTAGAAATGTCGACTAGAGATCTCAAAGGATAGTCGAAAAGACTTCCACAGATTTCAGTCTTATGTAGAGAAAGTTGGAATTTAATTGTAAAAAGTGTACTGAAATAATTTTCATTCAGGGCCGTTTTACATAGATACCGTCCCCCGTCCTTTTTCTTTTTAATTTTTCTTCTTCTATTTAAACAAATTAATTTAGTTTAGATCGAACAATGTATAATCAACATCATGGTGATATATTATGGAATCATTTAACACCAGGGTTACCGCCTCTTCCACTTTTTATTCAAAAATTTGTGACAATAAAATCCATTACTATTAGGGTTTCTGTGTTCGGTATAGAGGCATATATTGGAGTCAATGTTGAAGTCGTTTCCGAGTCAACCAAATTTCTTATCAATAATTCATTTGGAACATCAGAATCTTTGTGCTTTATAGGCTTTCGTTTTTGATGAATTTTCTACAAACAGATACATTTGTGGGGGGGGGGGGGGGGGGGGGGAGGGTTCTTATATATGACATTATTATTATTATAGTTACGAAGGTGGAGGTAAAATTAATTTTGAATCGAGGTTGTGCGAGAAGTAATGCGTGTGC